AAAGAGAAACAAGACGTCTGCTCTCTGCACAGCCAACCGAGGCACAGCAGGCTCCATGTCAACAGGTGAATCACCACATCTCATACCTCTTGGCCACAGCGCATTTGCCTAGCGAAGACATTAGCAGTCCAACCACCGACTCCATTTGGGCACTCCTACTTTAACCTAGCAGGCTACAAAACCTGGCTTTGCAGAAGCAGGGTGTGCAGCACCACGCAGGGAATGTGGCTGGAAGAGAGCAAGGACGGGACAGCCAGAGTCAGGCTAGCAGAGCCGTCCTCTGAAATACATATTCACAGGGTTGCGGTAGCACTGGATATTGCTCCGTACCCATTTTTGTCCTGCAGGCTCACGGTAATGACAATCTCTGACAAAGGAAGGATCGCACAGCGCAGCTTGCCTTATCTCTCTGCAGAGAGGCAAGGTTATTTTTCTTCTTCCAACACAAACGTGGGTTTACTGGCTCTGCAGAGCCCCTCTCTCTAGCCGAGTGCTAGAGCAGCAGATGCTCCTGATAGCAGCACAAAGCCCCGTTCAGGAATTGATAGCCAGGACAGTCTTAATGGTGCAGAAAAAGCACTGAGATCCACTCAAAGGCATACGCTCTGTGCTTGTACTGCTGCCGTGGGTAGCCACACAAAGCAGATACGGGAGAGAAATGTTAAGAGGGAGAATTCCTGAGGCAGATTAAAAAAATAGCATCTACCTCACCCTCTGCAGCAGGGCCTCCAGCGAGCCCCCCTAGTCCACCCCAAACAGTACTTTCATTGAACTCAGAGCTACAGAGAAGCAAAGCTGTGCAGCAAGTCCCACAGATCGTCCTGACATCAACGTGCCCAGAAGTCGTGCAGAGACCACAGCAACCCACATCAGGCTGTTCAGCACAAAAGAAGTTCATACTGGACAGCTAAGGAATAACCTCCCCCCCAGACACTGCCCTGTCGCTATTCGACTGAACTGTGGCCAAGACCAGCAGTTTCTTCTCTTTGCAGTCACACAAATCTTGGTAACTAATAAATCTTGCTGAAATGCAGCTACACCTTTGACCTTAACGATATTTGGCTTGTCAGTTCCCCAGACACCATGTAAAAAGGGAGTTGTCCACATTTACATTTATGGCCTTCTGAGCTTCATTTAGTATCTCCGTGACCTTGTGCTATGAGGGAACCAAAAATATCCACTTTCTTTTAAGTACATCTTTACTCATTTTTCTCTCTAAATTACTTTTCTCTCTAAAATAATTTCTTTGACTGATATTCTGCTGTTTTCCAGAATTTACATCTGACTTAATCTTACCATGAAAACATCACATATAATACTGGGGCTGGAGAATTAAGAAAGAGGGACAGAAAACCAGAGGCCACTTTATAAGACTGCACCTCACTGAATCGATCAGATTCATGCCTCAGTGAATCTGGTACCTTTCTTGCAATCCACGGAACAACTGTACTGAGGTCCTTCAATGAAAGCCATTATCACAAGGATTTTACACTGAAAAATTCTCACTCACACCCAAACAAAAATTCTTATACAATCAGTTAACTATCGCAGTGGCCAAGAAGGCTATGCAAAGGAAGCCATCAGGTTTGTCAGAGCCCTTCAGCATGACAGAACAGCCACGAAGGAGGTGTCAGGAAGACTTTCTCACTTTGGCCATCCCTACGGAGCTCGCATTCAGTTCAGGGATGCCCTGGTTTGTCTTATCACCACGTTCCCAAATTCCATAATCCTGCAACAACATCATCAAGAAAAAATTGGCATGATTACGTACAAAACCAATGTTTTCCCCCCTTGCCCCACAAAAAACCCAGACCCCTGCATGACATTAGTTTATTTGCCTTAAAAAAAAAAAAAAAAAAAAAAGAAAAAAAAAGGCTCCAAGTCTCCAAAGAGCCCCTCCTCATATTTAAAGAGCAGCACATAAAAATACACCCCAGCAGTATCAGGTCTACAGTCATGAATCACTGTCTTCATAGAACACACAAAGCCCTTTATCCTTCCCCCTGTGCATGCTTCTCCCAGTGCCCCTTCAACTTGTCACTTTCCAAAAAGTGTGTTAACACTTTGCTCTTTTTAGAAAGGCCTATAAGGTTTTAATGAGACATCAGGAAATATTATTAATTATCAATAAAGAAAAACTAGTATTATGATAGAACAAGTATACCTCACGCAGGCAGCAGTAAATCCTTCACAGCCCTCCCACCATCTCCAAAGATGCTGCTCACAATGTAAAGTACTGACAGGTTCTGATATCTTCTCATGGAAGAAGAAGTCCATATTTTCCTTCTCCATCAATAAATAATTTTCCACCCACATCTGAGCAGTGTTCAGGTGATCTACACATAAATAAATACTTACAGCAACTTTATAGGCAGCTTCTATGTAAAAAACAAGATTCTGAATAAAGGTAACTTCATCGAGGGTGAAGATAATACGTAACCCTGATTAAAAGAAGGGAAGAGAGTAATTATACTGTATTAGAACTGAAATATTTACTCTTTGGTGAGTCTCCTGCTTTTGTTTATTTGCTACCAACTATTGCCCACTGAAATCAAAGGAAAAACTCATTCCGATTTCAAAAGATCAGGCAGCAAGCCTCAATACTTGCTGCTGATAAAATACTTCAAATGCCACCGATACATATTGTTTCAAAGACCAACCAAAAACCACCCCTGGGAGGGTGGCATTCAGTGGGTACAAAGCAGAGACAGCTGGGCCAGCTCTGGCTCTCGAGAGCAGTGCATCCCAACTCCCCCACCTCCCCACCCCTCCCCCTGCTCAGTGCTCTATTGAGGGACCACCAGGATGACCAGGCACCTGCTCTGCAGGTGTCAATTGCAAGGGGCTCTGAGGACAGAAAAACATGTAAGGAAAACTTATCCTCACAGGAATAGTACAGTTGAGAACAGCACAAGATAAAACAGCACCAGCAAGAAGAGGAACACAGACGGGACTAGTGGCACCTGATTCGACGTCGCTGCTCTCTGAAGAAACTTGGTTGTCCGTTACGACACCCTACATCGTCTTCAAACACAAAACTCTTCTCTGACATGACCGTTAACATCTCATGCATTTGTACGCCAACAAACGTTAAGGGAACGGGCACTGCCCGGGCAGTTACTATAAACATGCAATCCTAACTAAGCCACATCCCTTTTCCAGAGAAATACTACTTTCTTCTGAGTAATAACTATGTAAAGGTCTTTGAAGAAGTTACAACTTTTTTTTTTCTTTTTAAATAAAAGCTAGAATAGAAAAAGACTGCAACAATAGTCAAGGCTAAAGTATCTTCTGCTTACCTGATGCAGTCATCTGTGCCAAGAAGAGCAGGTAAAGAGAAGTTGCATCCACTTGCAGATGCCCCCACTGGTCGTCCCCAACCACCGTGGCACAAGTAGCAGAGTTATACTTGGCATGTAGGCAGTCTTTGGTACTCTGCGTGCATTTGAACTTCTCTACCTTATCTACCTAAAAAACACCACAACTTTCAAATATGAAACATTTCGGAAGAAATTCTCCAAACTATTTCAACATTAATACCTTTTCTTAGGTGAGGAGAAACTTGAGGTCCTAATTTTTGTTACCTCACTTCAGTGTGTTCTGACTGATCAGAGCGCTTAAACACATCACTAACCTTAGGCTCCAGCTAAACGGACATCTCTTTGGGAAAGAATAAAATGAAACTACCTTGTTGAGTTCGGATCTTAGTTACAGGTATGCATCTTGGTGAAAATCAGTTTGCAAAGGCAAAACTGTGATTTGCTACAAGCACAATCACAAAAAGGTGCAAGTAAGATCACAGTTTTGCTCAAGAAACGAAAGAGTTTTAAAAGACTCCCCACACCACTATCTACACACATGCAAAAAAATCGCTCTACAGAAAAGACACAAGGAATACATGTCTCAGATGAAATGCTTCGTAAATGCAACATGTACTAGTTCAACTCGTATCTATGAGATTACCTGTCTCATCATGCACTGTAAGAGTCCCCGCATCAGCTTCACAACATTCTGCAGGAACAAAACAGACCAGTGACACCCTCGCAGGGCCAGCCTCATCTGCTGTTACAAACAACATTCAAAAGCGACAAAGTTCACACCCCCTACTAACATCCTGCCAAAGGTAAAAAAAAGTGTATTTGCCTGAAATGCTTTACATACCTTTTTTTAATACACTGGTTGATTTTTATTCCCGCTTCCCTACCCTGGAGAACAAATCTTTTCCCAAAGGCCCTCTCTAAACAGTGGAGCAACTCTCTGTGGTCCTTCTGTCCAGCTAAGGGAGCAAGAGGAATGCTATGTCTTATAAGAATAATGATGATGATGATGATGATTTTTAGAGCGACAGATCCAGGGAACACTGGTAGATGACTGCAAGACATTGACATGATTGGAAAACCTGTGGAGCTTCTTCCCCTTTTTATACAGTACAACAGAAAGCAGATGACTAATGTAAAGAAAGGGTCTTTAGTGCATACAAAGAGAAGCACAAGATTTTGTCTTAAATGAAGAAATCAACCCCATGTTTTTATCCAAAAATTATTGTAGCCTCGAAATACGATCATGCAAACTGAGTCAAGGTTATTCTGTCACCACAGATATCCCTGGTTTGAGCAGTACATGTCAGCATAAAATTTACCTAGTGCCTTCAAAACAACAGCAGGACACTGACACTAACACTCCCTCACTTCCCATTTAACCCACCTCTACACTTTCACTTCGGATACCCACTTTCCCAGCTGCAGATTATAGATACTGTGTGAGTTACCTCGCCTTCCAATTTTCCAGCACAGGAGTCTTAGCAGTTTGGAGATCGTTGCCTTGTCTGGTTTGATCAAACATGTCTATACACCATGTATGACTTCCGTGAGATGACACAAGTGCACATTTCAAAGATTGCTACTTTAAATGGCATGCTTCTCCTTATGGGGAAGAATGGTCTAGCAGATAAATTGCTACCCTAGGATCCAAGCGACCTAGACTTGATTTTCTGCTCCATAATACACCTCATGAGAGATCTCAAGGTTTAATCAGAGGCTTGTAAATCTGGGCATAAAATCTCTGAGAAGCCTAATTTTCAACAATTGGCCAACTGATGGAAGCTTGACTCCTACATGGTTTTGTTTTATTTATATTTTAATTCAGATGTTAGCCTCTCTGTCACCCACTTCTCCAAATCCTGCTTGCTGGAAGGCTGCCGGGAACACTGCACACCACACGCTGCATGGATGCTGCTGTCATAGGAACAAGACACGTACTCCAAGAAGGGAAAACCCTGCCAGATCTTAGACACAGCAGCAATGCAAATGCACCGTTCAAAACCCCTACTGTATGAAAAAAAAATCGAACAGTGTAACTGGTTTATGCTGAACTTGGAAGGCTGCCGGGAACACTGCACACCACACGTGGCATGGATGCTGCTGTCATAGGAACAAGACACGTACTCCAAGAAGGGAAAACCCTGCCAGATCTTAGACACAGCAGCAATGCAAATGCACCGTTCAAAACCCCTACTGTATGAAAAAAAATCAAACAGTGTAACTGGTTTACGCTGAACTTTGACATACCTGCTCGAGCTCGTAGGCTTTGGCCTTGTCCTCGTCCCGGTCCGCATTCTTCCGATAAGCCATCCCCAGCCCCCACACGGCCAGGATGCTGTAGATGTTGTCCCGTACCCAAGCATCCTTATGGTCCGTACCAGCTGAGAGCAGTCCCGTAACTGGATTCTAACCACAGCAGAAAGAATAAAGAACAAACATCACTACCTGAAATCCCATCTATTAAGACACACCAGTTCTTTCCATATCAAAGGGTAACTAAACAAAAGAGAGAGCCAGAGATGGTTTCATGCTGATTGCACGCGGCGGCTGCTCTCAGTTTCGCAACAAAGGTGAGGTTCCATCTTTCTTTCCAAACTCACACACGTGAAATGCAAAATTTCTTTGAACACTTCAGGATATAAAGCTTATAGCGTCCAGCGGGACATAGTCATCCACCTAGGATTATTAGCTAAGTCACTGAGTGAACTTTGAAATACAAATTGGGGAAACAGGAATTTTAATTTTACATATTTGTATGGAGAAGAGGGTACTGAGTTAACATAGAAACTGAGTTTGGGATCTATTCTCTATGTAACTGGTCTGTGCCATAATCTTGAGGAAGTCAAAAAACAGTATTTCCCTTCTAGGAAATTAGAAAAAGTATTTCTATTTATTTACCTGTTTATGACAGCTAAAGCATGAATGCATGCAAAGCCTTTTTATATCCTCCTTTGGAAAATGTACAGAAAGACAAATTCTGATGGTGTTGAATCGCAGCACTGTCTGAAAACCAGCACACTGAGTAGTCTCCTGCATCCCAAATACTCCATTAAATTTTTCATTTCATCATTAATTCCCATCACTTAATTATCATTAATTTTTAAGACCATCTTTCTCAGCTGTGTGTTGTTCTTCACTAACAAAGAAATGAGGTAGAGAGACAAAAGGTCGATAGAGCTTTCAATCGATAGAGCCTTAACAACCAATTTCAGTGGAGTGAACGAAGACCAGTTGCCAGGGCTGGTGTGACAAGGGGCAAAGATTACAATAATAAAGATAAGTAAAATGAGAAAGAATATACACCCCAATTTTTCATTTCTGCCACACAGTGGTTCACTCAACTCCTTCCATAGTTACTTTTAAGAAAGAAGTTTTGAGGGGGAGGAGCTTCAATTACAATTTCCTGGGCTTTGCATGTGACAGCTGAACAAGACAGGGGTGACAGCCTGACACACATGACTGGGCACAGTCAGTGCTATTGTTATGGTTTAAATACAGCAATGTCTAGTGGCTCGCTGAAGAGTAGAAACGTGTAGTTCTACTGAAACGGTCCCTCAGCATGGTCTTCACAAACC